GGTCAGGAACTAGACGACCTAGACTGAATAGAGGACACTCCTCGAAGGATGAAATGTCATACGCCAACTCCGTAGTAGCTTCCGACAATACAACCTCCAGCAATGGACAATCTCGTGAGGCGTTCTTGATCAATGCTGAAGAAATGGCCAAAATCCTCGAAGACGCTCTGGCCAAGCAGAAAGAGAATTTCAAATTCGAAATGAAAATGACTGTGCAACGGATAAGGGAATTGCATGATCAACAGATTCAAGCTTTATCAAATCAAATTAGTAAATCTATTTGTCGCAACGCTACTAATCAAGTAGGTAGCGATTCAGACGAGGATGAGAATCTCAACGCTGATACCCATCCTGTTGACCAAAATGCTAGGGATGGTCCCACCGAGGATGACAATGCTGGGGGTGGTCCAGTTATTCCTCCCCGAAATTGCCTGAAGGAAAATGTGGCAAGGACAAGAAAATGAAAGACCTGGAAAGCAAGATCAACGCACTGATATCCGTTCAAGAGGTAAAGAAGATTGGTATTCCATGTCATTACCCAATGGAGTAGGAGTCAATTCTGTATCCGACGAATTTCAATCTAATTAACCTCACACCATTTGACGGAAAGGGTTCACCCACTTAACACCTAATTTACTTTGAGTCCCACCTGGGTGTGATTTCTGACAACAAACCTTTTATGGTCCCGTCATTCGTTGGTACCCTTCGTGGGGCCACCTTCGATTGGTATCGCTATCTCAAGTAAGTAAGTATCAACTGCTGGAACGACATGGAAAACTCGTTCCTCAACAACTTCTTCGACGATGACACCGAAGTGTCGATCAGAGCCCATTTGGATGAGAAGCAAAAGGATGGGGAGTCAGTTGATAGCTTTGTTAAACGCTTCCGCAAAAAGGCAATGAATTATAGGGATCCCGTCACAGAGAAATTCATCTTACAGACAAGCCATAACAATCTCTCCATTGATATGCTAGAAGCCCTTCAAAAAAAATAGCCATAACAATCTCTCCATTGATATGCTAGAAGCCCTAAGGGTCGTGCTATCCATAACATGGAAAGAATTAAAATTGCGCAGGGAATAGGCCGAACGCTTTCTGAAAAGAAAAAATCTTGAAGGAGGCCAACCAACGACTAACCCTCCGAACTCGAATTTTTCTTCTCGTGGTAAGGGAAAGGCATCTGCAGTGGTTGTTGATGCTAATCAGACATCACAAAAACAACCTCAGTGTAATGATCATGAATTTTGATACTAGTTAAAATAATTTTTTAGTATTTTAAAATATTTAATTATGATTTTAAAAGAGTTTTTATATTTTTCTCGAATTTCTACAGTTTTCTATGATTTAAAGTCTAAGTTTTATATTTATTTAAATAATTTAAATATTTATAAATATATTTAGTGCAGTAAAAAATTTCTAGAATTTATCCGTGTGTTACCGATACTATTACGTATCATTTTGAATAATACGTGCTATTATTATTATTACGTATATTTTTGTATAATATGTTATATTATTAATTACGTATTATTTTGTACAATTTGTTGTAGTATTACTACTTTTGCATATTATCTGTCGTATTAGTACAACTGGTACATTTTATTATGTAGATAATTATCCTATAATTATTCGATCTTAAATATAAGTAATTGTATTTTTATTAATTATTCATGTTTAATTGTACCATTTTTTGTTATTAATTCAAATGTTGCATATTTTCAGCTATAATACCATAATTGGTACGTTTTGATGTGTAGGTAATTTTCATATAATTATTTATATTTTTACTTAATTATTATTATTTAAAATAGATTTTAAAATCCTATTTCTCTCTCTCTCTCTCTCTCTCGTGACCAGCTCAAGCATTAAAAGTGGGGGCTCTTTTGCATAATGGATCCGAAAGCTCAAGCATTAAAATCCCTCTCGTGACCAGCTCAAGCATTAAAATCCCTAGATCCGCTCCATCTCCAATCGGACCTCCCCTCCAACGCCGACGATATCTCAAATCACCCCTCTCCAACCGGCCGGAGCTCCCTAGATCCGCCTCACCACCGCCGACAGTGACCCACTGTCCCCAACTCCCTCGAGCACCATCTCGACATTCCCCAACCGCCGTCGAGCCACAAAATTTGACGTCTGAGACCACCGCCGACCGTGACCCACTGTCCCCAACTCCCTCGAGCTCGATCTCAACATCCCCCAACTCAGGTAACCATCAATCCCCAACTTATTAATTGAACTTCAGTTTCCAAATTAACTTATTTCAATTAACTTGAGTTCCAAATACGAGAAACTTGAGTTTTTATGTTCAAGACAGTCTGTAATATTTGTAATGGGATTACTTGCTTGTGATGTTTAAGAAAGGGGATTACTTGCATTATGTACGCCCTGAAGAGGGAAGTCCGTGTTTTAGTAAACAATGGCTTAACTGATGTGGAGCATCAGAAACCATGCAAAGAGCAAGGAGGTACAGAAGGACCGATTCATTCACCTTCAAAGAGAAGCGGAGACTCACTATCGAGCGTTTTTCTTTTTGTTCTGAAAACAATGGGACCTGAAAACAATGGGACCATTATGAGGCGAGCTCCATTTCTCACATCATATTGGTTCAGTTTATCTGCTCATGCATAGACCACTATTATTGTTCGACTTGTGCAGGGATCACTTGCTTCATCCAACCTGGTTCTCTGGCTATATTTCCCTGCCATCACAGCGTGTGCCTCAGTTGCTTTAAGAACAGTATCAAGGTTATGCATTATTTGCAGGGTTTCTAATTCCTGGTGGATCCTAATATACTGGATAAACTTGCGAACACTAGTTGGCCCCCTCTGGTAAATAGCTTATTGTTTTTAGATTCATACTGTTACTTTGTTTCTGTTAAATTTGTAGATTTGAGTAGAATGGCAGCTAAAAGTCTTATTGTAGGGTGATTATGAGAGCGAAAGGTAGAAGCACGTTTCCCTACTTTTTCACCTTCTAAATGGTCCCAGGTTTGGAGGAATGCTCTACTGATTCTATATAGGTCTAACTGATGTCTTTCTCTGAATAATGGTTAAGGGAATGATCCAAAGCCCAAGCGTAACACCCAGCTGGAAACTGCCATTTGTAAGCTCAAGCATGCTTGCTCAAGAACATAGATATCCAGTGAACCGTATTTTATGGCTGAGTTTGTATTTCTTTTCTGGCGGTGAAACGAAATCTTTAAATCCCATATTTATTCATTACAGCTCATGTAAAATCGTTTGGTATGAAATCCAGCTCATGTTAAATTATGTGTTGTATTTGTATTATGATTCTCCGTTTTCACATTCTGTACAAGATAAGAAGTAAATTCATACATGTGAGGTTTCTGTGATTACTTTTCAGTTTATGTGAACAAAAGTTAGGAGCTTGTGTGATCTGCTCGTTTATTGTAGGTTTCTGTGATGACTTCTCAGTTTATGTGAGCTGATCATATGCGCTTTGATTTCTTGGTGTTGGAGGAGCTTCAAACATGTTATTGTCTATAATTAATTTAGTGAAATGTAAGTAGTAAGTTCTGATAGAATGAAGTGATATCTTCACCTGGGTATGCCTAGGTATACTTGTATTATGATTCTCCGTTTTCACATTCTGTACAAGATAAGAAGTAAATTCATACATTTGTATTATGATTCTACGTTTGTCATGAAATCCAGCTCAATGTTCTGATTATGATGCTCCGTTTTCACATCCCTAACAAAAATTTTGACCAGGATATCACAATAAAATGAGATCAAACTAAATGGGGTTGAAACTTTCGAGTATCAAAAGTGTAAAATCATGACCCAAGATAAATACATTGTCAGGAGACCATAATCAGATTCAAAAATTAGAAGTTGCAGATTCCTACTATCAAATACAAATAAGAATGCCAAACAAAATAATCAAACAAGTTACCAGCTTTCCTACTCTATCACATTCTCCATCAATTTGGCAATAGTAGCAGCAGTACAAGTAGAGACTAACTGATACAAAAGAGTGTTTTAACTGTCTCAAAGCAACAGTACAAGTAGAGACTAACTGATACAAAAGAGTGTTTTAACTGTCTCAAAGCAACAGTACAAGTAGAGACTAACTGATACAACTTCATAACTTTAAATGCAAATCCCAACTCCAATTTTAGAAACTAACTGATACACCAGACTCAAACTTGCTATATCAAAACTGCCCATATGCAAATTTCCATTCTTGAATACAGTACCTGCAATGAGCGTGCAACAAGTATACATCAGATGTAATCTAATTTGTAGAGTTAGAAGGAAATATGGATATTTCATGTAATAAATCTGAAACAGAAGGTGACACTTGGATGATGAGCATGTCATTAAAATGAGCCATTACCCATATGCACTAAATAGAAGCATGTAGAAGACCGTCTTCATAGGAGCACATCATCCTCATCTTCACTTGATGACCCATTACCCTCTTGCCAATTTGTACCACCGCATGTAGAAGACCTACATTATAATGAAAAAATATATATATACACCAAGGGGATAATAGAAGGTGAAGAATAAGAAAGGCTTAAATAATAAAAGAATTACTACTTACGGATTTGTGAGTGCCGGACAATTTCGTTTATCATGTGATTAGCCTACTTTACCACACCCGTGGCAACGTCTATCTTTTTTATTTTTTGCTCTAGCCATTGCTTTCTCTTTTCCTCCCTTCAACCTTTTGCCGCACCCTTTTGCTCGCACTTGATCGGGTTCATTGAAACTATTTTGAAAAGTACAAGAATCCTGCACACTAGTACCATCATCCATTAAATTACCACTCATTTGATTACTTTTCTCGGTGAAGCTCTTTGCAACTGTGCGGCCACTAACCATGTGGCTACTAAGAAATTGATCGATTTGCTCATTAATGATACGCACTCCATCGGTAAACATCTTCCTCGTTTCTTCACATACAAGGGACTTGTCAACTAATTCCAAAGATGATTGGATAAATTGACTTCGTGTTAAAATATAAGAATTGTCAGGTCTTATCTGCATACCTTTATCATCAACCACTGTCCCCGATTTTGCAGACTTAGTCCACCTCTTTAAGATGTATTTATCGGGCAATATTTCAGCATCAATTTTCATCAAATATGATATAATGTGTGTACATGGAATTCCGCCGCTTTCGAACTTTTTACAACTACAAGAAACCAAATCCAAGTCCTTGTCATAAACGATTTCGCGGACTTTGCTTGTTGCGAGCTTCTTTCTTTGAATTTGATACACACGGCGATTGTCGGTTTCCCTAACAAACTGCAACTTGTAGTTAAAGCTGTCACACACTTCAGCCTCAAACTTGAAATACATCTCATTAGTGTAAATATCAACCATTTGCTCCAAAAAGTCATGATTTATTCTAAGTTTAGGTTTCTCAATCAAGTCTTTGTGATCGGCCATCAACTCCTCGTGACGTTGGCGCACTAGTCCCCTGCCAAACTGTATCATAAAATCCACCAATGAATTATTCTTCGAAACAAATTTCTTGAAGAATGCATGTCCACTTTCTGCTCGTTGGCTACTTGACATGTCTGCTGAGAAAATGTGATTAACATATGCAGGAATCCATCTTGACCGAAGTTCATATTGGTCTTGCAACCACCTGTTTCCTTCTAACCCACTTTTCTTAATCAGACTTTCCCATTGTAAATCAAATTCTTCAGGAGTCTCTGATTTCCAAATGCAAGCCGAGAACTCACTTTTATAAATACTATACTTCACTGCATCAATTTTCTCAGAAAACTTCATTAATATATGCCAACTACAATACCTGTCAAAAGAATTAAATAAAGTGTTAAAAAGAAAGGCTATGTATATAAACATCTTCAATAATATATACAAACTATAATACCTATGAAAAGTATTTGGAAGAACAAGAGGGAATGCCTTAGTCATAGCTGGGATAGTTAAAGCTGTCACACACTTCAGCCTCAAACTTGTAATAGATCTCATTCGTGTAAATATCAACCATTTGCTCCAAAAAATCATGATTTATTCTAAGTTTAGGTTTCTCAATTACATCTTTGTGATCGGCCATCAACTCTTCATGTCGTTGGCGCACTAATCTCCTGCCAAACTGTATCATAAAATCAACCAATGAATTATTCTTTGAAACAAATCTCTTGAAGAATGCATGTCCATTTCTGCTCATTGACTACTTGACATGTCTGCTGAGAAAATGTGATTAACATATGTAGGAATCCATCTTGACCGAAGTTCATATTGGTCTTGCAACCACTTGTTTCCTTCTAACCCACTTTTCTTAATCACATGTCTGCTGAGAAAATGTGATTAACATATGCAGGAATCCATCTTGACCGAAGTTCATATTGGTCTTGCAACCACTTGTTTCCTTCTAACCCACTTTTCTTAATCAGACTTTCCCATTGTAAATCAAATTCTTCAGGAGTCTCTGATTTCCAAATGCAAGCCGAGAACTCACTTTTATAAATACTATACTTCACTGCATCAATTTTCTCAGAAAACTTCATTAATATATGCCAACTACAATACCTGTCAAAAGAATTAAAAAAAAGTGTTAAAAAGAAAGGCTATGTATATACATATTTTCAATAATATATACAAACTATAATACCTGTGAAAAGTGTTTGGAAGAACAAGAGGGAATGCCTTAGTCATCGTTGGGTCTTGATCGGTAATAATCATCTTCGGGGCACCACCAGGCATACTTTCCATAAATTGATTAAATAACCATACAAAATCATCAACGCTCTCATGATTCAAAAATCCACAAGCAAAAACAATTGTTTGACCATGATTGTTAACCCCCATTATTGGTGCAAATATAAGGCCATAGCGATTAGTGTTATAAGTAGTATCAAAGATTACAACATCACCGAAAAATTTGTAAGCCCGCCTTGATCTTGCATCAGACCAAAAACAACGAGTAATCTTTTGTTCCTCATCGGCCTCAATTTGAAAAGTAAATGAGGGATTCTTTCCTTGTTCTAATTTTAAATACTCATAAAACATTTCACCATCATACCCCTTCAAATCAGCACGGATATCCCTTTCATTATTATACAAATCTCTTTGAGTGCACCCAATATTTTCTATACCTCCAGATTGTACTCCAAGAAAACTAAATTGTTGATGCTGAGGTATATTCACCATGGATAACTGTTTAGTTAGAGACTTTGTTGCGGCTGAAACGTTACGATGGGATCTTAAAAGATGAATCTTTGATGGTGTTGATAATGGGTGACTGTGCTCCTCATTAAAAACAGTAACAATGTATTTTCCGGAGTTTAATTTTAAAACAGCAATTTTGGCAGTACAATCCTCAGCTAAGCTTCCTCGACGTCTNCAACCACCATCCCCACCTTTTTAGCCGTCAGCGAGCCCCCGTTGGAGCCCACCGAGACACCAAACAACCCCCAGCAACCTCCTTCCACCTCCGACAAGCCTGAACAGCAAGGAGAAGCTCCAAACAGTGAGGAACGAGCCCGAACAATGACCAAACAACGAGCAGATTTTTATAGTTTTGTGCCAACTTCGCACACGCTTTTCGGCCACCTCCGACCTCCGTTTTCATTGATTTCTTTTCTGACGAGTAGCCCTATATGTTGTCTATCACCTCCAATTTATACCATACTCTAACTCACTCTCTACCTCTCTCGGTAACATCCAAAACATCGCTCAATGGTAGCAGCAAACAGATTTTAGCAGCGATGTGCTGACTTCGTACGTGTTTTCCGGCCACCTCCGGTCTCCGTTTCTGCCACTATCTTTACCGGTGTATAGCCCTTTATATTGTCTATCACACGGTATCTCCCTCTCACTTGGGTTCATTTTCTACATCTTGTTATATCACTTCGAATATCGCTAATCGCTACTAACACCTCCCTTTTTGTATTCTATCACACGATTGACTTTCCGACGATCTGCGGAATCCGTTGTGACCCATATAGCCACCTGATGATCCTCGCTGCCCTCTACAACATCCTCGATAATATTCCTAAGGCAAGATCCCGATTCTCGTTTAGTTTCGTTTCAATTCTTATATTTGTCGTACGTGCGAATTTATATTTTTTAATTGTTTATTAGTATTTTAGATCTGTTAATAATTATCTACGTGGGTTTGATGAATAATATTAAATGAATTGTAATTATGTGATAAATATTATTATTTTTCAATAATTATAATATTTTAAGAATTTATTTTTTGGAAGGAAATCATTTTAGCATGACAAATATTTTTAAAATAATTTATTTGTGAAAATAGACTATTTTGAATTAATGAGAATTTATCTTATAATCCAGATGTGGGTTTGATGAATAATATTAAATGAATTGTAATTATGTGATAAATATTATTATTTTTCAATAATTATAATATTTTAAGAATTTATTTTTTGGAAGGAAATCATTTTAGCATGACAAATATTTTTAAAATAATTTATTTGTGAAAATAGACTATTTTGAATTAATGAGAATTTATCTTATAAAAAGATTATTTTGAATTTATGAATTTATAATTTATCTTATAAAAAGATTATTTTGAATTTATGAATTTATTATTTTAAGAGATTATTTTTAGAATAATTATGGCGAGAGACAATTTGAAAGGAATTTATTAATTTATTATTTTAAGAGATTATTTTTAGAATAATTATGGCGAGAGACAATTTGAAAGGAATTTATTTTGCAAAAGAATTATTTATTTTGAATTAATTTAGTTCATGATCGTGTGATTGATGGTTGTTGACCACGACATTTTATGTGCAAATCATCCGCTGATTCCATAATTTTTATTTCAATCACGTGACATGCCATGATTTTATTGCATAGCATTAGCTGCATTTATTGTTTCTTGTTGTGATTGAGAATCGTTAGGAGTTTATGACTATAGTGACCTGTGTGACATGAATAAGACATAGAGGATTGTGTGTTGTTAACTTAGAAACACAAGAGATGTTGGGGTAGGAAAGTCTCTGTTCATGTAATCGGATAAGGCTATTGATATATCTTCCAAGCTCGCACCAGTGGATCGGTGTCGCCACTGGGGTTGGTTTGTTGAGTCATAGTGGATCGGTGTCGCTACGGGGGGCTGGTTGGTTGGGTTAAAGTAGATCGGTGTTGTTACTTTGGTTCATAAATTTATTAGATGCACGTAGGGGATATGCGAAAAGTCAGTTATCTGATAATATGAGCGTTGACTCTGTGTGAGATGTGAACCAGTGACTTGTTATAGAATGGTTAGTTACATGACTTGTTACTTAGACGATTGTGGATTCTTGTGAGATACCAGTTGTATTTCTTCTCATACATAGATCAGAATTAATATTTAGTTATCTTTAATTGAGACGTATGGTATATAGATTTCCTTGTTTGGATTATTTTGCTCGACGTACCACGTTCCTTGTTATAGATTTTTAAGTATTAATTCCATTTAGTTGTATGATCTTGTTACTTGGATGATTATTCTTATCGGTAGCTGCATGACTGACTTGTTACTTGGTTGATTTTGTTGGACTTCTAGTTGCACGTTTTTTTGTCATTCTTTTATCTTATCGTTTTCTGCTTGGATTTTCTTTCATTCTTTTCTTTTGTGGGGTCTTGCCGTGTGTCATGCACGCTGACGTAAACCTATTTTCTCTGGTGTACGTTAGACTTAGAGGAAGAACAGGTCCAGCTTGGAGATGCGCCAGAGCCCGAGTATTCTCAGCAGGAGTGCTTGCAGACAGAGCAGAAGAAGAAGTCGAAGCCTAGTCTTTTCTTTTATTATCTGTTGGTCCTACTTGCTTTTTGAGTTCTTTCCATTCCTGCCTGATCAATGTATTTCATATTTCTTCAGTTCATTTGTTCAGATTAGTATAAGGGCATGTTTGACCCGTATTTTTATGTCTTGGATGTTATCCCATTTGTGATATGATATTATTGTATTATATGTTATTCATTATATTCTTCCTATCTGTGATCGGAGACCTGTGACTTCACATTGTATTTATTTCTAGATGCTTAGCGTATTAGATTTGTGAGAAATGTTTATTTTTATTTATTCTCCTTAATCTAATACGTCGTGGGCTTATTCACGTTTTGAATCCCCAGTATTTTAGGAAGTGGGGCGTGATAAGTTTTAGTGGTGGCCCATGTAGGTCACTGTCCCAGTCACGGTCCCGAGTCCTCTCTAGTAAGAATATAGTGGATAATTTAGATACATATCATATTTCATCCGTAAGACTATTCTTGAGCCATTATCATATTTTCTTGATAGATTTCATTTTGTCCCTATCTTATCACTCTTTGACTCAGGAGTTTTCCACGGTTCTTGTCCCATCGCTTCGCGATTACCCTCTCTTTGTATAACTCCTCTATCCCCGTGCCGATCATTATTTTATATGTTATTATTTTTACACTATATTTTCTTTGATTTGATTTGTATATCGTTTGATTTTATTGAATTCTGTATAATTTATTATATTATTTTATGTATCAAATATAATATTATATTGTATGTTTTCATTTGTTTATAAATCTATTTTATCTTTCATAGTTCATGTTTTATGTATTATACATTTTATTTATGTATATTACGCTGATTGTATTTATGTGATTTTTGACTATAATATAATATACTACTATGTCTAAATTGATTTTATATAGTGATGATTATTATTGTAGTATCTTGTTTATATTTATTAATATTACTAATACTTCTATTTTATCATATTGTTGTTGAATATATAATTATGCTCTTATTATGTTTTATATAATATGTTTATTTTGAATCATGTGTTTACTCTTATGTTTATTTTATCATTTAATATTTTGTGACTCTTTCCATTATTTTTTTAGCATGATTAGTACCATGAGTATACAGACTTTTATATGCTTATTATTATGTATGTATTTTTATTTTTAACGCTTATTATA